GTTTTGCTATGCAGTGGCTTAATTATGTGAGCACAAGTGTATGTATGTATATAAATTATATGCAGTCGTTTGCGCATTGTAAATATACGAATCTGTAAGAGTACATTTCTAAACATTGAAATTAACATAAGTTTTCCCATTGGCTCTAACAACTACTCCGTTCTGTTATTGTCGTGATGTTAAGTGGTGAAACGCGCTAATAATTTTCTGTGGTGAAACGCACTCATCCAAAACAGTAAATATCCCAAAATTATCCCTTCTAAATATACATTCTCTGCTGTGTGTGCTCAGTTTTTTTGTCCTGAACTCCTTTTTGCCGATCCAACACCGGATTTATCAAGATAATGAGAATTCTGAATTTTTACGTATTTTTTTCCATTACAAAATATGGTAACACTAATTTTTTCCTTGTTTACAACCACTTTCTTATTCTATGAATAAATGGATTTTAACTWAAGTTTGATATGGAATTAAAGATATTATTGCACAATTTAATAGAAAATAAATGATAAGAAATGAATTAGTGTACTGTTAGTGGATATAAAAGTATAAAATATAGGTGTAAAATGCATTATAAATGATTGATTTTTCTAACTTTAAATGCAAATATCTCAAATACCACAAGTCAGCGGCAACTATATGTATATATATTCTTGATCTGGAGGACCTCCTCTATGTGTACATAGCCATTTTAATCCCGAAATCCGTTGAAGCTATTCTAAATCGCAGCCATAAAAACCCGAAATCGGGGGATGCTTTCTGAAATTTGCCCCTTTTTTTCTGGAGAACCTTCTCTATCAATACATACCTTCATTTTAAGAATGAAATCGGAGGTGCTATATCATAGCACAATGCGCATACGGAACAAGAAAGGAAATGTGTTAAGCACTTAAGGTAGTATTAACCTACGAGAATATCGGAAACTTCATGTTAAAAAAAAAAAAGAGATATTACCTGCGCTAAATGATCCAAACCACCATGATGAAAGTGAAGTATTTTATACTGCGACTCTCTTGACGAAATTACCAGTTGCCCAGAAGTACAATTATCGTTATTGAAAAACAAGCGCAATGAACGCATTTGACTCAGATCGACTGAAAATCTCCGGCAATTTGTTTTTTTTCGAGCAACTGAATATTCTACATACGACTTTGGTTTGTCTTTTACGGATAATATACTCGAAGGCGCATTATAAAAATCAATATCATCAGAAACATAATATTCACTATTGAGATATAGCTTATTTATATCGGTTACAACACTGTTTATCGAATCCTTTACATTGATGTTTTCAATATATGGGTTGGAAATTGTTATATTAACTGATGTAATGTGACTTCTGTTCAGTAAAACCTTAATATCACGAATTGAATTAAGCTGCTCTCCTAGGAGAGGCTGTAACTCATTTCTAAGCTCTTGTATATCAACATTAAAGCCATCTATTTCACTTTTCTCTTCGTTCTTAATAATTGTTTCATTTCTAAATCCATTTGGAATAACTATATCGTCTATTGCTTGGGTTCCATTCATATCAACAACCTCACATTTTTTATAGAACTTTTTTTCTTCTGATTTCGATTTACACAGTGAAGAATTTGGGATCCACGTGAGCAACAATGTCGAACGACTAGCTTTATTAAATTGATCAACGAAAGTTTTTGATGTAACAGTCAAATAACCTGGATAGTGAATCAATTCGGATTCCTGTCGTATAGAAATTGGTGGGTGTATGCAGACATTATTTTTGCAAAACAAAACTTCGTTGTCCTCATAAATATCGATTTTTTCAATGGATTTATCAACTCCCAAAATACGATTTGAAGCTCTCTTTATAATATTTACAATCGACATTTTTGGCGATCTGATTCTTCTATATTATTTAAACCACGTCCGTCGAAATATTTATTACTCTGAACCTGAATAACTTTTTATCATTGCCGCAATACTTTAGACTAAACTTTTAGAAAAGTTCGATAACTTAACTAATTGAGTACAGCTACACGTTCAATATATATTGACACGAATTAAGTTGGCGTTATATATTGTGGATTGCGTGATAAGTATTCAATAGAAGGAAATAGGTAATAGGGCCAATACACGCCACACGTGTGCGTTGGATCTGTGTGAAATCGTTTCCTGCCATACACGACACACAAATTCATAAAATGGGTATGGTCGGATAGAGGAGATTCTCCAGATCACGAATATATATATATATATATAGCCGCAGGAAGCTTATAGTTTTCGAGATAATCGCGATTAAAGTTGAAATTTTGCAATATTTTAATTACATATTTCTGGTATTTAAAATTAATTTTTCACTTAAATTTTTTAAT